GTTCATGTTTTATGAACCAACACCTTCACCAAGTAGCTTTACAGTGAACTGCATGTGAGATATAAAATTAATAGCATCTTTTCAGTAGCATTAATTATAAATATTTAAGTGGTTCAATACAAGTCACTACAGCATTTCAAACTGAACTGTGAATAAATGCAATTTAAAAAAAATAACCACAGCACAAAATGTCATAAATTGTGTTTTTTCTTTGTTTCTCTGAGGATTATTTACAAACAGGCTTATTTACATATAGCAATAACTCAGAAATGAAAAAGCTACATCGTCTAACACGAACAACCAGTTAGCATAATGATAATATATGTGTTATGTACAATGTAACTGGCAAGGCTAGAGCAAGAAAGAACATAAAGTTTGCAAAAGGTTTAAATAACTTCAAGTATCTGTCTTCAGATTACGTGGAGGTTTTAGTCCGATGGGAAGCAGATTTTAAGCGACACCGAAGATAAACCAAAAATGTGGTGGAGCTGCAAACCGTGTAGTGTTGCTGGGACAGAACAGGAGCTATAACCGTTGGAAAATACATCACAGACAATGCAACAAACGTGGAGACAGAACAATCACTTCTGTGATAAATGCCCACTTATTAATAAACTTCTAACAACCATGGGAAACCTCCTCTCTACATATAAAGTGATATCCAAGCATGGGAAACAAAAGACAAGCATTTACCTGTTTGCATCCAGCTAGCCAAGCCTTTCTTGTGTACCAGCTACTTGCGAAGCCTCGTGTATAAATGTTGTCTTTTTCACGAGATTGCTGCGATATATTCAAATCGGGTTGGTCCGGTGCAAGGTCTTTAAGCAACAATTTATCTGCCAAACTTCTCCTTTCGAAAGGATTGGAGATTAGCTCTTGAACAGAATTAGCCGGGGACCGAGGTCCGGAGACTCCACCTGCACACGAAGCCATCCTCATCAACTACTGCGTCAACCGGATACGAGTCACTGTCCAAACTACTCACAGACTGCACTGGGCGCTGACATTGGCGCCCGGTGACCGTCATCTTTGACGACGCTGATTGGCTGAAATTATATTTTCGCGGCATAGTTTACACGTTACAGATAGCAACAGTCAGCTGCTGGTGGCTGCTGCTGCACTGGTTGAAGGCTCCTCTCTTAGCGCCCAGACGAGAGAAGGTGCATGGGCAAGTCCAGGCAGGAAACCTGTGACTTATCAGTAACTTTAGACATCGTAACACAATTTTAAACGAGATTTTATTGTAGATTATACATTTTACTGATACCAATTATATAATATTTACCTTGTTCATTAAAAATAAAAATAAAAACATATATATTTCTTTAAAAAAAAAATTTTTTTTTTATTTTAATTTTAATTATTATTTATTTTTTTTTTTTCAATATGGGAAGAGGTGGGGCGGCGCCCCTAGCGCCCCTATGGACCGGCCGCCACTGCGGCCCAGGGTGCAAAACTCATCAATGACAGCGACCCTCTACCACACAAAACAACACCTGTGAACCCAATTTGTGTTCTTTGACATTGAAAATGATATTGCATTGTGTTTGTTACTTTCGTTACAGTTGTATGTCTTAAGTGTAATTTGGCATGCTTTTATTTTGAAGGCGAGTTCACGCTGTTGACAGGAAGTTGTTGTTGCTATGGAAACAAGAAAAGTTTCACAGCGGGCGGAACTTGTCATAAAGTCCGCGATAATGAAACCCACCCATTTAGAGGGAAGATATGATTGGTCAATTGTACTGTCATTTGACATTACTCTCTCGTTCAGTTACTATAGCGGGCCCTCTGTGAATCGCAGAGAGGGCCAGGGGCCTCATTTATAAAGGGATATACGCTCAAAAAATGGCGTACGCCAGTTTCTACGCAATGTTTGCGATTTATAAAATACTAACTTGACGGGAAAATGTGCTGTCCTCCACGCAAACTCTAACCCATGCGTACGCACTAAGCACACAAACGGGAGAGACGAGAAACTGCGACACCGTTGGCAGAAGGAAGAATGGAGAGAAATATGTGGAAATAATACCATAAATAAAATGTTACCTCTCATTTATCAAATATGAAGAATTCATTTTCAAACATTGATTAAAGCCAATCTTAAAATGATTAAACAAACGCCTGTTTGAGACTCCTCAGTGCACACAAAACATAACTTGGAGAAATAAATAAATACGGATATGCTATTTAAAACCACCTCGAATATGTTGTGTTAATGTTATGAAATGTTTTCTCATAAATGATGCGGTAAGCAGGAGGACAGAATTACGTCTAAACTGACGCCGTTTTGCATTTCTATAGGTTGTAGATACGAGCATGGTTTTATATACTATCACGTTTAATCGTGTTTTATGCCGTTTGCCAAGACTTGATAAGTCGCTCGTAAAACACAGGAGGTATGGAAACTAAGAACACCGTGGTAAATTGTACAGCTAATATAACACAACCCATTAGTTGTATTTCCTTTAACTGGTGGATTATGGATATATAGTTGCTGATCGACAGCTGGAACACAAACCACCAAATACAACAAAAATAATTCAGATCCAGTCGTCATGACTACACTCCGGAGGGATTCCCCGATCATTTCTTACAGTTTCTCATCAAGAGGAAGGTTGAGGAAGGTTATGTGTATTTTTTTGTCATTACCTTTTTTCGGACCACTTATTTATTTATTTTGGTGACGATCCGACCTCCATGCTGCTACTCTGTTTCAAACTGCATCCACCAAACAATATGATTTATCTCCACCTCCCCACAATAACCACAATCTGACACGGTGTGAGATGTCTTTTTTAGCTGTTCTATCGTAATTTCCTGCGATCTTCTTCATGCAGTCAGTCAAAATGAATGAATGAATGGGCGTTTCTTTGACTATTTATAGGCAAATATGGGCGTTACGAGTCGATTGTGATTTATAAAGGGAAACAGGCGTAGGGAGTGCCGTACGCACTTCCCTCGCCGGTACGCAATGTTTTGTGAATCGGAAAATGGCGGAAAATTGATGTACCTATTTTTGTGCTTTGTACTACGTAAGCAACCTTCCTACGTCAATCCTACGCAAGGCGTTATAAATGAGGCCCCAGACCTTCTTTCATGTAACCCTTCACATTCAAACAGAGACCGAACAGGCAGATTCGAAGGATTTATTTATTTGGAAATGTTATTTTATTAAATCAAGTTTTTTTTCGGTAAAACTAATGAAAAATATAACAAAAATAATATAAAAAAAATATATATTTTTAATTTTTTTTTTTTTTTTTAATGTTTTTAAATATTATTTTTTGGAATATCTTAGGCCCTCACAGAGGGCCTAGAGGGCCCTGACGGCTCGCCACTGGTTGTGTTATATTAGCTGTACAATTTACCACATATGGTGTTCTTAGTTTCCATACCTCCTGTGTTTTACGAGCGACTTATCAAGTCTTGGCAAACGGCATAAAACACGATTAAACGTGATAGTATATAAAACCATGCTCGTATCTACAACCTATAGAAATGCAAAACGGCGTCAGTTTAGACGTAATTCTGTCCTCCTGCTTACCGCATCATTTATGAGAAAACATTTCATAACATTAACACAACATATTCGAGGTGGTTTTAAATAACATATCCGTATTTATTTATTTATCCAAGTTATGTTTTTGTGTGCACTGAGGAGTCTCAAACAGGCGTTTGTTTAATCATTTAAAGATTGGCTTTAATCAATGTTTGAAAATGAATTCTTCATATGATAAATGAGAGGTAACATTTTATTTATTTCCACATATTTCTCTCCATTCTTTCTTCTGCCAACGGTGTCACAGTTTCTCGTCTCTCCCGTTGTTGTGCTTAGTGCGTACGCATGGGTTAGAGTTTGCGTGGAGGACAGCACATTTTCCCGTCAAGTTAGTATTTTATAAATCGCAAACATTGCGTAGAAACTGGCGTACGCCATTTTTTGAGCGTATATCCCTTTATAAATGAGGCCCCAGGAGATCCAGTAAGTAGACCTTGAATTTTTGTCAATTTTTACTATGGTATTTGTAGCTTTTTTACTACTATTGTGTTTACTTTTGTACCGCCGCCCCCCCCCCCCCCCCCCCACACACACACACACACACACTTAAATACAATGTAGGGAAGCTCGGTGTTTAACAGATAATGAGTGAGATTGATTAGGCTGCAAAAGACAATATTATCTTTCCAATAAAATCACGTATGAAATGATTGATCCCGTGTTCCACCGACGCATCACACAACTATTCATGTGAAACAACAACAAAGGAAGTGCAATAATGAATTCCGTTTTAAGTTAGAAGTTTCTAGAAATCAATTACATCACATTTTTAGAATAGTTTTGTATTACTTTAGAGTTTACTCTCTGGGTTTTATAACATGTTTAGTACATATCATTCTCTGTGGTCATTTATATAATCTTGAAATAATATTATGTATCTATTCAAAGCAATAAAGGTTATATCATGTATGACCCAGCCAAAGGTGTCATCATCATAAATTAATTCGATACACTTCTATTAGAAAACAGCAGAAATAAGCAGCAGTGATCATGAAGGTAAATAAGAATATGAACAGCTGACTCTACAGATCATTCTCTGACGACAAATAAACACAACTCCTATCGTACAAAGACACACAAACAGACGATTTTTCTTTATCTAACGAACATTAAAACAGTCTCAGACGAGCGAGAGACGTTCATGTTCGTCTGTGTGAAAAACGAAACTCCTACAGCTTCTCACACACACACCAAATACTAAGAAGGTCAGAGTTCAAAGTAACATTGCCGTGATGCTTTAATAATTGGGACACACACACACACACACACACACACACACACACACACACACATACACACACACACACACACACACACACACACACACACACACACACACAGAGCAGGAGACGTTCGTATGAAAAACGAAACTCCCATAGTCTCTGAATCCCTTAAAGCAGAACATGTTATTTACACTGAAACATGACACCAACAGCAGCCATGTAGAAAAACACAAGTCCTTTATTTACAATCTGTTCCAAAATAAGTGTAAGAAAAATACATCCACTCGTTATTTGTGAAAATAAAGCACCGAGAGTTTCCTCCCAACGTGACTCTCATTATTCATGACGCCACATTTACACTCCAGAGTTTAAGCTTTTAAAAAGTCTGCAAACGTAAAGGAATATCATGACTTTAATATGACACAAGGGTAGCTGTGAAACTTGTGCTTCACGATGTTTGATATCACAACTTAAACTAGAACATATAAATAAAATCTCATCGCTGATTTAATTGTCTTCAATTGATATTTCATGCATTTTTGTAGCTTCAAAAAGAGCTAAACATTGAATATTCAGAGCAAACTATGTCCACGTTGTTCTGTAGTGAAAGGAACTGTACTGCATGTCGACGTCTTCACTTATATATTAAAACAATACCAGACTATAACAGTTTGAGGGCGATGTTAGTCGTCGTGTCATCAACGTAAACAGAGAGGTCGTTAGCAGCGATTTGTGATTTGTTAAGGCTTTAAAAATAAGTCTTAAAATCTCTTCATCACATCGTGCTGGAAACTCAATTCATACATAACTTAATTTCTCCAAACAAGAAGCAAACTGAACTTAAACAGCAATTATGAATCTAATTAAGACGAGTCTGTTTTTTACATTATAGCGGAGACTAAGACCTGCACGGCTAAAACACTCTGCAGGGGAACTGTCTTCCTTCTGCCCTGTAATAATCATTAGAACTACGACACATTTTCACACATTCAAACTCAAAGATGGGCACATTTCAGTCAGCTGTTTTGTCCCGAAACATTTGGAAATACTACGTTAAAGTTTGGTGTGTTTTCATTTTGCATTTAAGCAACACTGGGGGTTTTCCTGTCACACACACATTGGATTATTATTGGTATTAAGGATTTAAATGTGGCTCAATTTGCTGGTTGGTGAAATACTGACTTTAATGTTCTGTCTCGCGGGACACAAAACACATAATTGATATGATTTCGTTTCACTTCAGTCCACATCTCAACTGTCCCTACTTTCCTGAGCTGCACTTGAAGGCATCGCGACCTCTAGGGGTTCAGCGGCGGAGGCGGAAACGAGCGAAGATGGGCAGGTGATCAGACGAGTGGTTCTGATTGGGCAGCCCGTTGACTTCCTCCAGCTCCGACTGGCCGACCAATGACAGCCTGCCCAGTAGCGTTAGGCCCCGCCCACCAGGAAGTGAAGGAGGGGGGACGAGTTCTTTAAAAGAAGAGATATAAGAATATTAACAAATAGAACAATCAAGATCAACAATGAGTGTGTGTGTGTGTGTGTGTGTGTGTGTGTGTGTGTGTGTGTGTGTGTGTGTGTACCGGGTGTGTGTGTGTGTGTGTGTGTGTGTGTACCGTGTGTGTGTGTATGTGTGTGTGTGTGTGTGTGTGTGTGTGTGTACATGTACCGCGGCTGTGTGTGTGTGTGTGTGTGTGTGTGTGTGTATGTGTGTGTGTGTGTACCTGGTGTGTACAGGATGTAGTCCACGTTGGTGGCAGTGTTTGAGTGACAGGTGGTGATCTCCGGTCGGCCATCCTGCAGGAGGTGATCGTACGAAGAGTGAAGCTTCAGAGTGTGTTCGATCCTCGCTCTGCTACACACACACACACACACACACACACACACACACACACACACACACACACACACACACACACACACACACACACACACACACACACACACACACACACACACACACACACACACACACACGATGATATTGAGAGTGTTAGATAAGACTGTGTTTCCAAATGTGTCTCAACAGTTTGTCAGAATTACACTATTTTATGTCTTTTCTTTTAAATTAAGTATATTGTAGGTTGCACTGATAGTGAAGACTGACAGTTAAGAGTTTTCTTGACACAACTGCCCTGAATCTGACACTTTAGGTAGGTAGGTGAGTAGGTAGGTAGGTGAGTAGGTAGGTAGGTAGGTAGGTGAGTAGGTAGGTAGGTAGGTAGGTAGGTAGGTAGGTAGGTAGGGTAGGTAGGTAGGTATAGGTAGGTGAGTAGGTAGGTAGGTAGGTAGGTAGGTAGGTAGGTAGGTAGGTAGGTAGGTGAGTAGGTAGGTAGGTAGGTAGGTAGGTATAGGTAGGTGAGTAGGTAGGTAGGTAGGTAGGTGAGTAGGTAGGTAGGTAGGTAGGTAGGTAGGTAGGTATAGGTAGGTAGGTGAGTTGGTAGGTAGGTAGGTAGGTAGGTAGGTACGTGAGTAGGTAGGTAGGTAGGTAGGTAGTAGGTAGGTAGGTAGGTAGGTAGGTATAGGTAGGTAGGTAGGTAGGTAGGTAGGTAGGTAGGTGAGTAGGTAGGTAGGTAGGTAGGTATAGGTAGGTAGGTAGGTAGGTAGGTAGGTGAGTAGGTAGGTAGGTAGAGGTAGGTAGGTCGGTAGGTAGGTAGGTAGGTAGGTGGGTAGGTGAGTAGGTAGGTAGGTAGGTAGGTAGGTAGGTAGGTAGGTAGGTAGGTAGTAGGTAGGTAGGTGGGTAGGTAGGTAGGTAGGTAGGTATAGGTAGGTAGGTAGGTAGGGTAGGTAGGTAGGTAGGTAGGTAGGTAGGTAGGTAGGTAGGTAGAGGTAGGTAGAGGTAGGTAGGTCGGTAGGTAGGTAGGTAGGTAGGTAGGTAGGTAGGTAGGTAGGTAGGTAGGTAGGTAGGTAGGTAGGTAGGTAGGTAGGTAGGTAGGTAGGTAGGTAGGTAGGTAGGTAGGTAGGTAGGTAGGTAGGTGGGTAGGTGAGTAGGTAGGTAGGTGAGTAGGTAGGTAGGTGAGTAGGTAGGTAGGTGAGTAGGTAGGTAGGTGAGTAGGTAGGTAGGTAGGTAGGTAGGTAGGGACTGAAGGGAGGAGGTAAGAAACACAGAAATGATAGTACCTGTGTTGTATAGCGTAAGCAGCTTTAGAGGCCAGATCTTCTACAGTCAGGTTAGAGATCGCTCCTTCTACTGCAGACAGAGAGAGAGAGAGAGATGCTAGTGAAGAGGATCAACAATCAGCTGACAAACAACAATAACAACAAATTATTTAACACAAAGAATCGATACCACTGGACAGAGGCTAGCAGTTCCCTCCTGTTTCCAGTCCGTGTTAACATGTTTTAAACTGTGAGCTGAGACTTAAAAAGAATCCAAACATGCATTAAGCTGAGTTAATCTCAGGTGTTGTACCTGAGGGGGAGGAGTCAGCGGGGGGGGGGCTGCTCTCATACTGACACTGAGGGCTGATTCCCAGAGTCTGAGACCAGAGAGGAGCGGTGAGGAGACGCTGACCCCGAGGACTGAACTCCTGACCGGACACCTGCACACACACACACACACACACACACACACACACACACACACACACACACACACACACACACACACACACACACACACACACACACACACACACACACACACACACACACACACACACACACACACACACACACACACACACACACACACACAATCAAAAAGTGCATTTTGCATGATAGCAGACCTGAAATGAACCAATAGTCAGTCAGTGTGTCTCACCATGCTGCTCTGAAGGCCTTTATACTCCAGACTCCCATTGGTCAGGAAGCTGTACAACGGACTCCGTGGTGTCGAGTTAAAATCCCCACACAGAACCACAGGATTGGTCGATCCGTCCGGGAGGCGGGACAACCGGTTTATCTCGGCCAATAGGATGGCCAACTGGGCCAGTTTGATGTCTCCCCGGCGAGGGTTGTACAGCAGGTGAGTGTTGGCCACGCAGATGAAGGAGGAGGCATCTGATTGGCTGCGGGCGTCTTTAGGTCGCAGCAGTAGGACCAATCCCACGTTGTCTCGGTCCAAGAGGGCGTCGCCGCGTTGCAAGTACTCCACGGGATTGGACGAGAGGAGAGAGAGGCGGGAGGATTAAAGATGACCGCGGCAACCTGTCGGGGTTTACTTCCTGTTCGCTTCTTGAACTCACAATGGTAGCCTGAGACACACACACACACACAGGAATGTAAATATGGATAAAAGGAGAAATCACGGACATAATGTGGCATTTCACAATAAAAACATTTATAACGGCAAAGATGGCAAAAATTGAAATACATTTGTGTCTTAAATATTTTCTGGGTTCACATCCACTCAAACACCCTCATCCACACACACACACACACACACACACACACACACACACACACACACACACACACACACACACACACACACACACACACACACACCACACACACACACACACACACACACACACACACACACACACCACACACACACACACACACACACACACACACACACACACACACACACACCTACCCAGTGCCTGTAGAGCCGGTTTGATCTGCTCTTCATAATGTTCCTCCTGGACTTCTTGAAGGCACAGGATCTAAAAGAAAGTGTCAGAGTGAACTTTAACAGTCTGAACAGGTTGAAAGCGTGGACATAACTCAGTGTACTTTAGCTAAAATGCATGATCTGTTTGGTATTTTGAGCAAAACACATCATAGACATGTTTTTTATATATCTGTATATATCTGAGACCCATTATATATGCCTTAAAATAGCGTGATAGCGACCTTTTAAAGTGTTTCTAACTCACGTCAGCGTCGTGCTGCTGGATCTCTGCCAGCAGGTTGGGCCGCCTGTAGTCCCAGCTCAGCACCGCGGGGGGGCAGTGGCGGTACAGGTAGGCGTTGTCCTGCAGCAGCTGCTGGGACAGGATGTTGTAGGACATCACGGAGAAGTCAAACGCTGCGCTGCTCCCTGGTGGACGGGGTTCAGTACTGCAGGGAGGAGAGGAGGACTGCCAGTGTCTCTGCAGAGCTGAGAGGAGAGGATTCATACAAGAGTTTGTCCATTTTAGCACAAATTATTTAATGATAAACTAGTATCAAAATCTACTTAACAGTGCTAGCGCAGTTAATAACACGTTTTATACATTTGTGGACATGTTTCCTATGATAAAATGTACAAAAACGAACATACATTCTGCTCTGAAAATGGTCGACTTTTATCTTAGAAACCAATCACTTTCTAACCCCACCACTTTCAATTAAACCAATTATTTTCCTACATGTTCACAAGTCTGAGAGCCTTATTGAATCAAATGTATAAAAAAACAACAATATACTCTGCAGAGCTGAGGACAGACGGAAGAGGATGGATTGATATAGCTCCTAAACAAACATTATTTAATGATAAACTAGTATCAAAAGCTCCGTAACAGTGCTGCACAATTAATCAAACTTCTCATACATTTGTGGGCATTTTTATCCTATAATAAAATGTACAAAAAACCTAAGACTTACTAGAAAAACAATAGACATTCTGCTCTGAAGAAATGGTGGGGTTTATCTTATCTAATCTTGTGTTGATGTGTTTCCTCGGCAGAACAGCAGGAACAGCTGATATCAGAGTGACGCCTTTTCATAGGTGTTGGTTTGAACATAAGTACAGAACATAAATATGTTATTATATTATTATTAACCAGAGCTGTAAGGCATTGGAAACAGATGGGAAATGCACCGTACACATGCTTGAACACATCTTAACTCTGACTTTAGAAAGAGCAGCAAACCTGCAGTCAATGAGATAAAAAAACCTCCTTAAAGAACAACTCACGTCTCACTGGTTTCCCCGGCCACTGGCTTTGGGGCGCGCTGCTGGGATGATGGGAATGAACCTCTCCATCACTCCCTCTGTCTCTTCTCTGTCCCTCTGATGGAGGAGGAGGAGGAGGGTTTCTCCTCCCCTGCTCCTCCCCCCTCTCTTTGAACCAGGCGTTAGTTCTGGGTCTGGAGACGTGATCCTGTTCAGGTTTTGACTTCAGGTTGCTGTGACTCCTGGAGCTCGACGGACTCCTTCTCTCGTTTGCAGTTTCATCTCGACTGCTATCACTCTGTCTGTCTTTACTCCAACTTTTAGTCCTTTCTACGTCTCTGTTCTCCCGGCTGTTCTCCCAGCTCCTCCCCCCGTCTCCGTCTCTGTGGTTCGACCGAGGGTCTCTGTAGGAATCCGGGTGATATTTGGATCCTCGATCTCGGTTCGACGCTCCTTTTTGTTCCCTTTCCTCCTTCTCCGCGCTCTTCTTTCGTTTGTGAGGAGGCTCTCGGTCCGATCGCTCCATCAGGAGGCCGGCGGACGTGGAGAAGGAGCAGCTTCCTCTGAAGTTTGAAGTGTTGGTGAAGCTCCAAGGAGGAAACGTCCTGCAGGAGGAGAAGTGACGGGATGGAGGAGGAGGATGAGGAGGAGGATGAGGAGGAAACTGGGCCGACCACCATGGAGGAGGAGCGGGGAGGAAGGGGGGGAAGTGGGAGGAAGAGGAGGTGTAGATGCTCCTGAAGATAGGGGGATGTCTGAGGGGGAGGAAGGGGGGGATCAGCTGGCGAAGGAACATGGAGCTGGGGGAGGAGAGGGAGAAATGAGAGGTTAGGAAACAAGTCATTATGAGCACCGTAAGGGCCCGTCCACACGGCAGCGTGCGTTGAAGCTTCAACGCTTCTTCCTTTTCACTCTGAATGGGGTGACGTCACGCTTTGCCGGACTGCATTGTGGTTCCGTCGCTTCGCGTTGCTCGCTTCAAAAGTTGAGAAAAGTTCAACTTTTGAAGCTTCGACGGAAGCGTCAGCCAATCAAATCATATGCCAGTACAAGCGCTAGCCAATCAAACCGCGTGCTTGTGTGTCCGGGGCGGGAGATTCATGTGATTGGTTGTTGGTCGAGTTTCAGACACGCCCGCCGGCAAGCTTCAACGCACGCTGCCGTGTGGACGCTGCGTAATTCCTGAGTGGCCACTTCATGTTGTTGTTGTTGGAGAGGGAGGTTTGAGAGGTGAGGAAACACGTCAGGAATACACTTCATAAAACGTGGATCAAGAGAATAAATCGGGCAAGTGTTTTTGATCCAAAATAAAGAATCGTTCCAGTTTTCTAACAAAAGGCCCAATAGAGCACATGGGTTTTCACTGTGCCTGTTCAGAAACATTATATTCATTTATCTATCACAGTCAGTTACTGATAGAAGTTGGAACTGGTGATTGTTAAAGATAGTTAGATAAAGAAATGTATATAATAAAATAACATGTCAAGATAGTTGTGGATATGTGTTCTGTCAGTTTACTTGTAGATTAGTCTTTTAGTCTTTTCAGCTCTACTTCGTTGGACAAAACCAGATATTAGATAACTTCATTTTGATTTAAGGAAACAGTGGTAGTCAAATATTGTCGTCAGCAGACTGTTTTGTATTTTAAATAATCACTCTGGCAGCTAAATAGATGCCAACAAATATTAGAAAACTTGAAGTAAGCAAAGCTACGTCAGTTATCTTCGAGATGAAGCAATCATTTGTTTGTAAATGAATGAAAATATTCAGTTCACCGTCACTCAAAGAGAAGAGCCTCACAATAAGAGAGCAGAGAACAATCAGAGCGCCACGGTGCAGAAAAACACACACACACGCACACGCACGCGCACACACACACACACACACACACACACACAGTGAGCTGACATCTTTGTTTACATTTCTCTCTCTTTTTTGTGTGTTTCTGTCAGATTGTGTTGTTTGCATTTTTTTACGGTGTTTTTACGGTATTTGTAAGTGTATGGTTGTTATTGTATATGTATACATGTGTCTTTGATTGTGTGTATATATATATATATAGGTATATACATATTTGCATACATATTTTTATATATATTTATATTTTTGTATTCGGGATTGTGGGAAACAGTATTTCGATCTCTCTGTCTGTACACACAACCTGAAAGATTGACAATAAAGTTGACTTATATGTATGAGTATAAATGTGTTGTAGATATATGTAAGTGTTTATATGTGTTTATTACAATCATGCTCGTCTGTTCTGCTGTTAACCCTTCTGTCGTGTTGAGGTCAAATCTGACAAATGTACTACTTTAATCAATCAAGATCATCATCTTATTATCTTCCTTTCATGTCATTTATATTAACCCTTTGTCAAGTTAGGGTGACAGCTAGCAGCCAAAAGTAGCTATATGTGAATTCCTATACTTAATTGTAGCCAAAATGTACATTAAAAGCCCAAGATAATGTAACATGAAAAAATAAATAGAGTAAATGTTAGCTTATTTTGAGCCTCATTGATTATAAAGGCGACTCATATAATGTCTTTATTTTTAAGCCCTGACTCGTTAGCTCACGTTTACTCACTTCTCTCCGAAGGGGGGACCGGCATCGTTTATGTTTCGGCTTGGATGCATTTAAATAGATGATTAAAATCACACATTATCGATATTTGTAGTTGTTTTTATCTGTATTCAAAACAAGCAGCAGCGTCGCCAACATTTGACGCAACAGAAAACGTTCCACTAAGCGAGGCGAATCCGGTGCTGCCTTCGAGTACACCGGCTAAACTCGGATTTTTCAGTTGTACAGTAAATACATGTACATTACTTACAAGCGGACGGTTGGTTTAACACCACACCTGAAATACAGATACATATATATGTATATCATTATATAAACAGGATTCGCTGACTGATAACTGTGTTATACATGGTTTAAATGAAACGGATACTCGGAAAAGCAACGGTTGCATTTAGAAACTAAGAAATACAACGGACATATTGATTTTTGTTTTCATCTTGACCTTCTGCTAGTTATATAAACACAAATAAATCCACTAACAGACGTTTTAATTATGAAAGAAGCGTATATTTTAATAATTGGACTGTTTGTGTCGTTTCTGAAGATAATTCCAACATTTCAGAGAGCCTTTAAATGGAGCTTCCATTTCACCTTTTTGCTGGGACTTGTAGTCTTTTGGTCCTTTCTCTAGAATGGAACGCTATGATAGGATTCAGTTGAACGGACTACAGCTCCGTATTATAGCGGAAATAGAGGAAAGACTGGATTCGTATCCCATCTATTCTTTCTTTTATCGAGAGCATCCGTAATGTCAATTCATTTACGTAGTTATCAGTATTCGCTATGGCTAAACTGTTTTGGGATTGTATAATAGATACATATTTAGTAGGCTATGTTGTTAAAGAGAACATGTAAAGGTCATCGTACTTACGTAAAATCGAGCCGCTAGTTGAATACGAAGAAAAATATGCCGGTAAAATCGGCTTCAAAAGATAAAATGTCAGCTTCCTGTGTGTGACATGTTCTGTTATTCCATGCTAATAAATCCTATACAAAGCTTTAAAGTACGGATTAACAAGGATTGATAAAGAGCACTGTTCTATGAGAAGAGGGGAGTCAGCACATCCTCTCTCTCTCTCTCTCTCTCTCTCTCTCTCTCTCTCTCTCTCTCTCTCTCTCTCTCTCTCTCTCTCTCTCTCTCTCTCTCTCTCTCTCTCTCTCTGTGTGTGTCACAGTGTGTGTGTGTGTGTGTGTGTGTGTGTGTGTGTGTGTGTGTGTGTGTGTGTGTGTGTGTGTGTGTAGCAGCAACATAATTCAAACATCTTATTTCCCTCTTTAGACTCATGTTCCGACCCAAAGCTCTTTGCATTGCTGAACCACCGAGATGTTTTTATCCTAATGTAAATACTCATACATCCCAATAAAAATGTGAAAATAAAGAGCCTCCTTTCAGCCCCTTCTTTATGAGCAAAGTGATGGTGATTAGAGGAGAATTTTTTCCATCACAAGGATCATACTGAGTTGTATTTACCTCTGCCTTCTACCTGTGCTTTTGGGAGCAGTATAAGTAAAAGAGTTAAACTGTTATTAATATTTCAAGTTTTGTTTCAAGTTCTATTCAAACAATGCTTCTCTAATATGTATACAAAGAAAACAACACAAGTACATAAAAAAATCGAAGACAAGTTTAAAATACAAATACAATAACATAGATGTGTGCCAAACAGAAATGTATATAAATACACTGGATAGAGTAAATGTACATGCACAATAAGAAGTATTACAGCTATTAACACAGAGGTGTACCTTGGTCAATTTCAAACAAATGTAAGTCAAATATAAAAGCCCTTTTGATGATAATAGATACATCTATGGGTAGCTGTAGTAATATCAGCAGTTATATAAGTTTATCAAACCAGTTCCATCATTGGTAATAGTACTACTGATGGTAGTTGTAGTAATATTAGTACTGATTGTGGTGGTAATAGTATGCATGTTGTCGACTTAAGTACTGCAGCTGAAGTATTTGTTGTAAGCAGAGCAGTGGTAGCAATAGCATTAGTTTGTGTTAAATGAACACCTAAAATAAGTGTTTTATTATATATTACAACATAACTTTATTATTTTGATCTGGTATGATGCGTAGGTCTATCAAATCTTTACCTTGCGTGTAAACATTCACAGCCATTTAAATAAAATACGAGCACCCATTATAAAAGCTTTATTCAGGAGTCAAACAGGATATCAAAATGATGCAGTGGATGATATCAAACACAGGAAAGACCTTTCCAACGTTAGAAATCCATCATTTGAAAAAGACTTCCAAAATGATGGTTAGGGGAGTTTAGAGATGGGAGAAATGTTTGGGTCTTTCGTTAACTTGACTTGACTCTGTTGGAATTTGAAATGAAAAACCACAGAAGAAGTCACATGACTGCAGGGTCACAGTTTGACCCGTCAGCAGCTGCAGTTCATCCGTCAACAGTCAGAGAGAACAGAAATATCTCCATTCGGAAAAAGCATCAAGAGTGGACACTTCTTCCTGAAAGTCACCTGTAAATTCTTAAATAATCATGATTTTAGAGACTGAATAAAAACAGTGTGAGTAAAGCTTTTCCCCCAGTTTCATAAAGTGGAAAGAAATGTGCAGAAAAATGTTCACATGCACAGCGAGGAGCTGCAGACATGCTGCTCTCTTTCCTACATCTTCCTCCTTATTGTGCCTTTATTTACACTCGTAGCCCTTTTCTGTCCGTGTTTCTGCTCATATTCTGTATCAACTTGTTCTGAAGAACCAGTTGTTGTGCTCATTTCTCCTTTGTGTGTGTTTCCTTCTCCTCCATGCTCGAGCTTTCTACTTCTGCAATCAAATGTATTGATAAATACGGTGGCCGCCAGGTGCTACAACGGTCCACAACGTTTCCATCAGGAGAAAGGCACTGCAACTTCAGAAACTATGCAAATATAAAAACACTAATGTGCCAAAGTCCCCTGGTTGTCGTTGTGTTTTGAGCTTCTTGCAGTGCGCTTTTTATGCAACGCTTTTTGTAAACGTCGAGTTGGTGAAGATCTTACTTTCATTCACTTTATGTTTGCATAGTTTCTGAAGTTGCACAGGTTTCTCCTAATTGAAATGTTTTGGTCTGTTGTTGCGTGTTTGCACCTGTCCGCCACCGTATGTACAGGAAAGGAAGCTGCAGTATAAAAACTGGGACATTATGGTCAAATAAACATCCAAAATGCATCAAACATCTCCTCCACCTTGCATACTTCAGAAGGGTAAAGAGCAGGGAAATCCATTTCATATTAAGAGCATTAAACTATCCCACTAAGTAATGAGTTCTTAACAATAACGTATCTTTTGGTTCTGTCAGGCTTATATTCTCTTTCCATCCCTTAAAGCAGATGTACTAATTTATCTTGAAGTTGATGGAGAGACAGTGATCAGTTTGGTTGGAAAACAGGATTAATTTGGGATAGTGTGGAGGCTATTTTTATATAACATTAGAAAGACTGATTCTTATTATTACATTATAAGCTTATTGTGCTCATTTATGTGGCTGTGACTTTGGAATAAATAGACTCAATCACCCCCCCCCCAAGTTTTGACGGGGAGGATAGGAACGAAGGGAAAAGTCACATGAGAAAGTGTTTAGCTTGCAATATTGAAAGTAGCAAGGTGGAGTGCAGAGACTGAGAGAACACAAAGAGGTAGTCAGAACAGCACATCACACCGGCCTTGAATTGTAGGGGAGCCGTGCGCCCCCGCAAAGCTAGGAAGCAACATTATGGTTTTCTACTATATCTGAAGAAACGTTAGCGAAAACAAATGACGTATGATGGTGCCAGAGTAGGGAGGGACTAACACAGGCCGGCCGAATGCTGATTGGAAGGTTGTGTTGCCAAGAGACTCTATCTGAGTCACCAAAGAGAACCAAGTCTAAACCATGGTATCTCTTCAGCTAGTCTTGACCAATCATAAATGTACGGGCAACGCCCTGTGTAATAAAATGTATTGTCGCACGAGGTTCGAGGCTCTTTACGGAAATAGACTGACAGATTACAGCTTTGCTGCCTGTGAATTCTATGACTTGGCCAAGTGATATCTTTTGCTCTCTCATAATAAATAGTTAAACTTAGAAGTCGTCTGACTTTCCTGGAATTTTGAACACAACAATAGTGTTCTCTTTATCAAATCATAGAGTCACGGAACTGAGATGCTAGTGGTTATAGGAACTGTTTTTATACATTTAGAGCAAGAACAGACGTTACAGATTCTGTTCACTTGTTTCTGGTCAGGTCCCATGAAAAATGTATATTTTATTTGACAATCCTTTCTGGATGCTTGTAGAGTGGTGCAGGAAT